ACGCATCCGTATAAAACAAAGGGGGACTTCCCAGAACAGAAAGAGAGCTCATCGCAACGGGTCACTCGACCCTCTGTTAAACTCGAACAATCTTCCTCCCCTCAAAAAAACAAGGGGAAAAGAGACAAGACCTGCACCCTGATTACAGGGCGGGTCCAAGTGACTAGCCCAACAATCCAAAGGAGCCAAAAGGGAAAGGACCTGAACCCTTCTTACAGGGCGGTCCCTCGGGCTAGCCAATTAATGGAAAATATATCACAAGTAAGAGAAAAGGAGGAGACCTGAACCCTACTTACAGGGTGGTCACTCAGCCCAACGCATTAAGGGGAATCTAGTCCTCTCTAAATAAGAGGCACATGACCTGCACCCTAATTACAGGGCAGTCAAACTGACCAAGCTGAGAACAAGACACAATCCCAGATGAGCAAAGGACAGAGACCTGAACCCTAGTTACAGGGAGGTCACACGGCTCAAGTAACAAAGCATCAGTAGCTCCCATAAGTGAGGGGAAGGTGACTCTCAACCCTGATTACAAGGTGGTCACTCTGACTAGCTGAATTAAAGAGGATAATCACAGAAGACAACTTTAGACCTGAACCCTGATTACAGGGCGGTCACGCTCCTAAGGACCCTAAAATAACCCTCATCCCTGATAAATGAGAGAGATTCGACCTGCACCCTAATTACGGGGTGGTCACTCTGATTAGAACGATAAAGGTGCATAAAGCCAGAGAGCAAAAGGGCAGAGACCCGACCCCGTATTACAGGGCGGTCACGCTCCACAAGGTATCAAAGGGCTAAGTACTTCCCAGACTACAGAAACTTGTGACATGCAGCCGAATTACAGGTGGTCACTTTGACGAGACTGTCAGAAGGACGTGATGCCAAAACAGCAAGAGGGCAGAGACCTGACTCCGAATTACAGGGAGGTGAGTCACACGGCTCAGGGTTCCAAAGAGCTCAGTATCCCCCAGAAGCAAAAGAAATATGACTTGTACCCTGATTACAGGGTTGTCATCCTGACTAGAGGGCCACAACAAGGCGTAATGCTAAACGAGCAAGCGGGCAAAGACCTGGACCCTAGTTACAGGGCGGTCACATTGCTCAAGTTACCAAAGAGCTCAATTCCCTCGAAAGCGAGGGGAGGGGGTGACTTGAACCCTGATTACAGGGCAGTCACTCTCACTAGCCAGCTAATGGAGCATAATGTTGAAAGGACAAAACAGCACAGACCTGGACCCTGATTACAGGGCGGTCACGCTGCTCAAGGTATTAAAAGGCTCGAGATCCCCATACAGTGTAATTACATGACCTGAGGCTTGATACAGGGAGGTTACAGTGCCCAGAGTCCCTTTCCTTCTCCTCCATCTTCAGTGACTTGTCCTCTTTCCTCCTCTTTGCTTGACATTCCTCACACTTCCTTCTTGTCCCCTTGTGCTTGGAGCTGCCTGAAGCAGAGAGAGGGAGCAAACAGGCGTGTATAAGTCAAAAGCCTTTACGACAACTCCGCATCCCCGACACAAACTGAGTGTAAACTACTGATACAGTGTTGTTTTCCGGTCGGAGACAGACTGGATATTCAGCTCCAAGATAGTTCTATGTGGTCCTCAGACAGTTCCATAAGGACTTTCCCCTTCTCCCAAGCCCCACCGGGGGACAAAAATACCAAACATATCCTACTTCAGAGGCACAATCTCCAGATTTCCCCTTGACAACTATTACACCAGGTGTCCTCCATACTAAATCAAGAGGAATTGAATGATTAAAGGCAGTATGGAATTAATGGACAAGTATTCCAAAGTCAATGTCACAAGGTATACTACCCAGACTGACTTAGTCCAAAACTGCCACAGGACCCTCCATTTCTGAGCTTACCAGCAACAGCAGCAGGATGTCGGGTCTCCAAGAGCACAGTAAGCGGAGCAGAAAGCAGGAGACTTGGCTGCACAATTCCAGGCAAGTTGGAAGCGCAGTGTGAAGGGCCAGGACTCTGGACACAGTCTCATGGGGGCACCATAAATAGTGTCTGATGAGACCTGTACCCTGTTTACAGGGTGCTCATTCAGATCAGTGGGCTGCACTTGACCTAGTGCGAAGAGACCAGAGGGCCAAGACCAGATTCCCTTATTACAGGGCGGTCACTCGCCTCAGGCTGTGAAGAAAGCACAATGCCAAGAGACCAAAGGGCCTCGGAGACCAAACCCTAGTTACAGGGAGTTCAAACTGCCCATGTTACTGAAATGGTTCCAATTCCAAAGATTTCAAAAGAGAGATGCCACCTGTGCCCTGATTACAGAGTGGTCGCTGGAATTAGCAAAATAGCAGAGACCGTAACCTGAATTACAGGAAGGTCGAGCTCCTCAAAGTACCAAAGGACTCAATATGTCCCATTCTATAGATATTTGTGACCTGCTCCCTAATTACAGGGCGGTCACACTGAGTAGTCGGCCAGTGTACGGCGTAATGCCAAACGAGCAAGCGGGCAAAGACCTGGACCCTAGTTACAGGGCGGTCACATTGCTCAAGTTACCAAAGAGCTCAATTCCCTCGAAAGCGAGGGGAGGGGGTGACTTGCACCCTGATTACAGGGCAGTCACTCTCACTAGCCAGCTAATGGAGCATAATGTTGAAAGGACAAAACAGCACAGACCTGGACCCTGATTACAAGGTGGTCACGCTGCTCAAGGTATTAAAAGGCTCGAGATCCCCGTACAGTGTAATTACATGACCTGAGGCCTGATACAGGGAGGTTACTGTGCCCAGAGTCCCTTTCCTTCTCCTCCATCTTCAGTGACTTGTCCTCGTTATTCTTCTTTGCTTGACGTTTCTGACACTTCCTTCTTATCCACTTGTGCTCGGAGCTGCCTGAAGCAGAGAGAGGGAGCAAACAGGTGTGTGTAAATCAGAAGCCCTTATGAAAACTCCGCATCCCTGACACAAACTGAGCGTAAACTAGTGATACAGTGTTGTTTTCCAGGTCGGAGACAGCCTCGATATTTAGCTCCAAGACAGTTCTATGCGGTGCTCAGACAATTCCATAAGGGCTTTCCCCTTCTCCCAAACCCCACCGGGTGACAAAAATACCAAATGTATCCTACTTCAGAGGCACATTCTTCAGATTTCCCCTTGACAACTATTACACCAGGCGGGCTCCATACTAAATCAAGAGGAATTAGATGAGTAAGGGCAGTATGGAATTAATGGACAAGTATTCCAAAATCAATGTCACAAGGCATACTGCCTGGATTGACTTAGTCCAAAACTTAGTCCACAGGACCCTCCCTTTCTGAGTTTACCAGCAACAGCAGCAGGATGTCGGATCTCCCAGAGCACAGTAAGCGGAGCAGAAAGCAGGAGACTTGGCTGCACAATTCCAGGCAAGTTGGAAGCACAGTGCAAAGGGCCAGGACTCTGGACACTGTCTCATGGGGACACCATAAATAGTGTCTGATGAGACCTGTACCCTGTTTACAGGGTGCTCATTCAGATCAGTGGGCTGCGCTTGACCTAGTGCCAAGAGAATAGAGGGCAAAGACCAGATCCCTGATTACAGGGCGGTCACTCGCCTCGGGCTGTGAGGAAAGCACAATGCCAAGAGACCCAAAGGGCCTCGGAGACCAAACCCTAGTTACAGGGAGGTCAAACTGCCCATGTTACATGTTCCAATTCCAAAGAATTCAAAAGGGAGATGCAACCTGTACCCTGATTACAGGGTGGTCGCTGGGATTAGCCAAATAGCAGAGACCGTAACCTGAATTACAGGAAGGTCGAGCTCCTCAAAGTACCAAAGGACTCAATATGTCCTATTCTATAGTTACTTGTGACATGCACCCTAATTACAGGGCTGTCATGCTGACTAGTGGGCCAAGCATGGCCTAATGCCAAAAAAGCAAATGGCAAAGACCTGGACCCTAGTTACAGGGCGGTCACACTGCTCAGGGGTCCACAGAGCTCAATATCCCCCAGAAGGCAGAAGGACACAAACAATCCCTTAATTAGAGGGTCAGGACTCAAACCAAATGGCTGAAGTAGCATGGTGGCAAAAGAACAAAAGGCAGAGACCTGAACCCTCTATACAGGGTGGCCACACTGCCCAAGTACTAAGGGATGCTGTACTTCCTGTGAGTCACAGGTACCTGAGCTAAATTCACCTCCTTAAAGGACAATCATTGTCATCAGCCCAGTAAAAGGAACTCAACTTAAATGGAGAGACCAGATCCCTGTTTACAGGGAGGTCACACTGTCCAAGGCACTAAAAGATGACATCTGAGCCCTTACTTTTCCCTTTTGTGGGGAGGAGGAA